ATTGATCAATCTTTTTAAATTCTCTTCTTCTGTATTCATAGGATCCCCGCACAGAAAACAGCCCTTATCTTGGATTCATCTACACATCATTCCAAGAAAGGGCAACTTTTATCTCCCATGGGAATACAGCCAGACTTGCCAAGGAGCATGGGGACTTTAAGTTGGCTCAAATATGTGGGACGATTGCCTCGGATGAAAGGCGCCATGAGACAGCTTATACTAAAATCGTGGAAAAGCTCTTTGAGATTGATCCTGATGGTACTGTCCTGGCCTTTGCTGACATGATGAGAAAGAAAATCTCCATGCCAGCCCACTTGATGTATGATGGCCGAGATGACAACCTTTTCGACCACTTCTCAGCTGTTGCACAAAGACTTGGGGTTTACACTGCCAAGGACTATGCTGATATTCTGGAGTTCCTGGTGGAGAGATGGAAGGTGAAGGAGCTAACCGGACTTTCAGGGGATGGGCGTAAAGCTCAAGATTATGTGTGTGGACTTCCTCCTAGAATTAGAAGGCTGGAGGAGAGGGCCCAGGGTAGGGCCAAGCAAGCACCCAGTATTCCGTTCAGTTGGATTTTTGATAGAGAAGTGAAGCTCTAGGTCTTAGAAAAGAAGTACCAATTTTCCTGTGTGGCAAGTGTCTTCTCATTCAAGGAAAAACAGAGCTATAGAGAAACATGATCAAGCTGCAACTTCTCTTTAAATGCCTTTTTTAATGTGACATATGTAAGGGGAGGGATTGTTTGGGAGGTGTGTGGTGTCATTCGATAATTGAGATAGGGGCAGCTGTAGCTTTTGATGTTGTGTTGTTTAAGATAGTCTCGTCCTCGTTCGAGTCTCTGTTGGTCCTTTTGGTTCTTTCTATAGTTTCCAGAGTCTAAGCAAATAATCTTCTTATGGCAATTTTGGTGATAATGATGGCAATACCCAATAGCTTGCAATAAGAAATTTCTTTTCCATACACTTCAGTGACTCAATATTTTTGTACATATTGTAAGCTAATTTAATGGGGACTCTTCGGCTATAATAACATTTTCGCTTTCCCTTATATAGGGGTATTAATGGGTATTTTATAATTGAATATTTTTTTATATTATTTGATCCCATTTTAAGTAAGATTAAGACACTCTATAATTTGAAAGTTAGATTAAAACGCTGTATAATTGAGTTTAAACAGTAAATTATTGTAAGGTTTCATTAACTGAATTTGTTTTTAGATAAAGACTTTTAATATTAAATTTAAATTTTATGTATTATTGATCATTTATAAATTTTTTATAATCAATGCATGTTTATTAAAATTAATTAATTATTATAAGTATGATTTAAATTTTAATTTTTATTAATAATATATAGAAAAATTAATTTTAAATTTTATTCAATTAAATATTTAACCGATAGAAAGTAATTTAACAATTTAATAAAAATATGTATAAATTTCCAATTAAAACATCACAGCAATCTCAGTGGCAACAAGTAGCATCCGATTGGTAATGGAAAATTTTTTCAATTTAAAATATATTATAAAAAATTTAATATGTTATGTTATTTACATAAACTCTAGCAATCCAAAATATTATTTCTTCTATTACTTGGATCATGACATCATTAAAATATTTTTTATTGTAATTATTTTTCGATTTGTAAAGAATATACTAAATTATATTGAATAATTTTCTTAAAAATATTTTCTAATTTTAAAATAATTTAAATATTAATATTTTAGTATTATTAATAACATTTTTTATTCTTAGTGTTTTACTCCGAAAACGTGTTTCTTTTAAGACTGAATCAAAACGCAGTACCAAATCTCTTTTGAAAAAATTAGAACCCATCATCAACTGACAGATTTCGTTATAATGATGCTTTGACCATTTCAGAATATCATTCACTATCATTTATTCCATCACCAACACTCAAAATTTTCTACTTTGTTGATATTAAAAAGGCAATGAAAAGAAAATTAAAGTCGATTTAGGAAAAATAAAAAGCTCAAAAAAAATTAAAAATGTAGCGACTTGTTCGAGGCCACGATCAAAACGAAAATAAAATTTGATGGGCACGGAGAATCGCTTAATGCTATCGCCAACCTTCAATGCAAATGACGCCATTTTCATATGCTTTGACGCCCCTGCTCTGCAAATTGGCTTCTTTCCTTGCCAATCTACAACCTTTTAACAGAAAAAGCTTTTGCAAAATAGATAGATAAATAAAATAAGATCCTTTACAAAATATACAACTCTTGAAAGAGAGGAAGTGAGACGGAGAAGCCCCGCGAAAATATACAGACTGATGAAGGTAAAGGGTCCTTTATATAGGGGTGGGAGGTGACGACCTAAAATAAAAACCCTAACCCTAATTATCTGAGACTGAATTATTAACGTAAAATGACGGGACTGCCCTTGGACGGTTGGTTGGTTGGTTGGTTGGTGGCGTTGTTGGACTTGTACCTGGGTTCAGTTTAACGTGTAATCTTAGGCTGGGCTTGGGCTGTTTCAGACAGCAAACCTTTTCACTGGTTTGGCTTTTCTTTGTTACTTTTCTAATGCAGTCATCATAAAGATAAGACCTATCAATCAAATTCAAAAAAATAAATTTATCAAGGAAGAAGGCAAGAAAAAGAGAAAAAGCTTAAGGCTTGAGAGATTTGAATCTGATACATGGAACTGACCCTAAAAATCTTGGCAGACATAAATTTGCTTTGGGTATTTGCATTCCCTTGTCATGTATGGTTTGAAGCTCCATTTCCTGAAGCCATATTGTTTTGAGTATGCATGCTTATATCAACAACAATAACCCTCAAATTTGCTTCTATCTTTATTTCTTTCAAATGCTAAGGAGTTATTGAAAGATGGTTTCAAAAGAGGGGAGTCGGACAAAAAAGGGCCTCACATGATCCTCAACTTGCCAAGGCATCATCACCAACTATCTTCTTTCTCTCAACATAAGAAAGCAGTAAAGATTAATGAATTCTGTTCCACTGAAAGATAGTTTTAAAGGATGGACTCCACTATAAGTACCAAACATAAAGGAGGGATTGGACCAAAAAATGCCTCGCATAATCCTCAACTTTTCAACTCATGCTTGCCAAAGCCTCTGCAAGACAGCAGCCATATCCTGTCTCTTCACACACACAACTGGTAGAATTCAAACTTTCAAATGGCTCTTAAACAATAGTTTTTACTGCCCATTGATCCTTTTAAGATCAAAATCAGAGGCAAAGTATTTTCCACCTTGTACAAAGGTGTGTTGATTAAACATCTGAGATATTATTATTCTGCACAATAACTACCATGGTAATACTAACATCAACCACTAACACTGAGGGAAGACATTAATAGTAAGAAAATATTTGTAAAGACAGTCAAACATAATTCTGTAGGGCATACTTCTTTGTCAAAGCCTAGTTTACCCAGCCAAAAGATGGATAAGCAGAAACCTTAGGAAACCTAACTGAAGCAAAGTCCCCATATAGAAGCAGCAGGTTATTTCCTGTCCCTCTAATTACAGGAGCGAAAAACGAATCTCAACTCTGGAAATGTGAGAGTTTCATGAAAATTGACCATTGCTTCCCCTTAAATGCTCATATTTAATAACAATGTCTCCGCCCCAGAATGTGAGTGAAAGCAGCCATGAGAAATTTATAAAAGAATGCATCATACATATACCTAAATCAGCCCCAATTCTACCCCACCTAATAAAACTAATGACACAAAATGTGAAGATATAGATATAGAAAACAAAGAATAATCAAATTATTTAAGTGCATATGATATAATTATGCAGCAGAAGTCAAAAGAATTTCATGAGAAAGAATAACCCCCTTACTTTGCAAGCTATTCCAAGTACCTGGTAATTAGCTTTCATGTTGTGCATAATGGCAGCTTCAATCAAGTCAATATTTTTTGTTCCATCCTCAATCAAACCAATTCACCATCTTCATACAAAGCTTAGATCATGCAAAAGGTAATGCCAGGGTATCTTCTCATATAATTCTACAGGTTTTTTTTTTCCCCTAACTTTGTAATTGCCATGAGACTCATTCTCTCCCCCTAGAAGCATAGGCAAATTCTGTTTCTTTCTCCACCTGCTTGATCTTTTACATAAACAGACAAGCAATTCATCAAATAGAAAAAAAACTGTTTGCTAGTGCTCTAAATCCACCACTTAGGGAGAACATATGAAGAAAAGGGAAAATAAAGACCTCCTAAACTAACCAGAGATATTGGTACCAAGGCCACAAAAATAAATGTCATGAAGATGAACTTCTAAATTATGAACTTTTAATGGAAAATTCCATATCATTTTCATCTCCTGAGGAGATACGTTTAAGGGAAGAGACAGTTAGACGCAACAGAAAATCAATGAACTAGCTCAAAACAATTCAGTTGTTTTGGGCCCATCTTCTAAGCTGGAAACACAAGCTCTTGCAGTTCCAATTCAAGATGTTTACGTCTTCTGCTATCAGAAATATTATTATATTCATAGTAACACAGGCTATTTACACCTTCACCCCTCCCCGGCCACCCAAAGAGATAGACTTTTTCCTTCTATATGTTGAACCTTCACCCCTCCCTGGCCACCCAAAGAGATAGACTTTTTCCTTCTATATGTTGAACCTTCACCCCCCATTCCTACCACAGATGGTATCTTCACAACAAAAACCATAAAAACCTTACAACAATATGATAATATAGCTCTTTAAAGATGCCAAGATAAAATTGTTCTTCAAACTTCTGAATTCTGGTGCGAATATGGTTGGATGAGGTTGAATGGACTTTCATGCTAAAACTTCCATTTCTACATACCCAAGGACAAACAATAAAAAAGGTATCATCATATTGGTCACAGTACCCAAGGACAAAAAATAAAAAATGTATCATTATACTGGGGACAGGCAAAACCTCTTATCAAATAGGTTCCCCACTTAATCAGAGACTGCATCAACAAAGCGTAGATTAATTCTTGCAAGGCTGTAGAAAGAAAATTCACTTATGCAGAATAACAGAACAAGAATCAACTTAATTTCTTGGATAAGTTTTTATTACGTGGATTCCAGTACAAGGTACAGTTCACATCAACGCAAACAGCTAGTAGAGAAACTTTTCTGAGGCTATATTTAAACACTAGCAACAACATCAAGCCAAGCAAAGGGGTCAACAGCCAAAAATTGCTAAAGGAATCTTCATATAGATCAAATTCCTAAATCAATGAGTGTATAACAAAAGACTGCAATTCAAGTGCACATAAAAAAATGCACATCCCAATGATGAGTTCTTCATGCTACCTAGTTACCAGCAAATGAATATATGTGCAGTATAGTTGAGGCAACAGCTTTCAGCAGTTTAGATAGTCAAAACTTCTAAGCTTTCACTTCCACTTGTTTTGGCCCATTTTCTGGTATTAACAATCCAAGCCCTTCTTTCCTTTCAGCATTTGCATAAGATTTATTCTTGTTCTGATACATTGGATTCGAAGTCAACACCCTCAACTCTGAATTCCTATTAATCTCCAAAACTTCAGGCAACCCATTGATGCATCCTTTCGACATTCCCACATCAATCCTTATTGCTCTATTATCACAAGCACCATTAATCCCAATCTCTTGAATCGTATGACCCATAATCATCCTCTTTGCACCAGGAATTGTAGCCAGGACATGTTCTAGAAGTGAACAATCACAATTCTTTGCCAACTCATCAGAAAACTTCCTCAACCAAACCACAGCATTCCTCCCTTTACAGTATCTCGGTGCACGGCTCCCCATCAACCCATTAATCCAATCCCTCACCTCCTCATTTATCCTCTCCAACCCGTAATCCACATGTTTCTCCAAAAGCCCTCCGTGCACGAAAACAGACTCCCCAACAACTAAAACAGTCAAATTATCAGCTAAGAATCTACGAGCAATTGGACCATCAGGTCTCAATGCAGCAATTCTTGCTCTGATACTATGATAGAACTTTTCAGGCACGCCACGAAAAGAGAAAGGGATCCCATGAAAAGGGTCGTTAGGCTGCTCCAACCCATGACACAAACTCTTCATTTTGTTCCCTACACCATACCAATAAGCCCAAACATTGAATTCCTCTAAACCCTTTTCAGTTACATACCTGAAATCACCTTCCACATTCATTATCTCATGATTACCATTCAAAGTTATCAACTGCCCTCCGCTTTTAACAGCTTCACGCTTCAACTTCTCCAAGAAATAAAGGATCTTGAGCTCCTCCCCACCACGGTCAAGCACGTCGCCAATCTGAACAACGGTGGCGGACCCACCCGACCAACGATCGGACCCATCAATGAGGCCGGCGAGACGGAAGGCTTGCTTGGATTTCTCGAGATCGCCATGGAGGTCGCCGATGGCAACTAGACGATCGGGGGAAGGGAAATGAGTTTGAAGGGCTTTCTGAGGAGTTTGTTGCTGTTGGGGTAAGAAGAGACCGCTAACTGAGAAGTCTACGAAGGTGTCGACGAATGACGAGAGGAGTGACGGAAGGTTTTCGCATGTTGGAGACGATTGGTTTTGTTGTTGTATTGGTATGGTGTTGTTTTCCATTTGCTTTCGCTTTGGATGGTTGCGTCTGCTGTAATCCAGGATACAGAAGGATAAAGGTAAAGTTATTGACTGAGAAAAGTGAAAGCCTGCCTTGCAAGCAGCAAATCCCAGTACTCGTATCCAACCCCATGCAATTTTGTTTTTTCTTCTATCAATCATAATTCGGATTTCCATTTTTTTAAAACAAAATATTTTCAATTCATAAAATTACTAATAAATTAAATTGTCAAATATTCCGATTCTTAAAATTACAAAATAATGCTACACCTTAAGGATTGAAATTTTCAATTTATTTGACCAAACCAAAAAATAAATAAATTTACAACTTTGTAGGATCTTTAAAAAGTTAAAATTTGAAGATAAATTATGCTGTCAATTGTAAATCAATAAAATTTATTTAGACAAATTAAAAATATAAAAATTTAATTAAATTTAATAAAAAATAAATATTTCTTAAAATTTTTTAAATAATTTAGAAATTCTTTTAAATATTAAACCAAGTTTACTCTCAAATAAAAAAAAATTGATAAATTTCTTTTCAACATGGGCTGTTGGAGCCCAAAGGATAGTAACTATTGGGTTGGATGGTTGGACTCGGACCTGACCGCTCTTCAACAGAATAAACTAAACTGCTTTTTACTTCTGATTTTGAGCAGCTTGTCAGCAGCCAAAAACCCTATAAACCCTATAACAGGTAAGTTGGAAAGAATCAAAAAGGGAAGCAGGGAGATAAAACAGAAACGAAAATGGATCACATAGCAGCGATGGAACAGCAATTGGTTTCAGAAAGAATGAGGAAGAAACTGAACGAAGTGAATTTGGCTGCCCAAGCTCAACTTGCTCCTGTCCAAGACCACATCAATTTCACTCTTCAGGTCTACTCCTCTCTTTCCACCCCAAAGTTGGAATCTTGACTTGTCTTTTTTGACGTGGGCTTCTTTTCTCTGCTTGTCTATTTCTCATGTTTATAACCCCTGTATTTGATTCGTTTTGGTCAATGGGTTCCGTTTAGTTCATGCTTAGGAATTGTTAGAACCATATAGAGATTTAGAAGGTAAAGTTGTGAACTTGCCGATTGCTTTGGGTATTCAAAGCCTTTACGTTTTTCTTAGTTTTTTTGAAATTTTGTAAGATATCAAGTCTGTTTATTTGTTTTAATTGTTTTGGCTAATCAGTTTTCATAAAGAATTTAACTCCTTGGTTGTGTTGATTTTTATTTCGTTTAAAATTCTCATGATGATTGGTTGCAGCAAGCGTATTTCAAGTGTGCGTACGAGTGCTTTGACAGAAGAAGGAAACAAGAGGAGATAAGCAATTGTGTAGAATATTGCAGTGTTCCTGTTGTAAATGCTCAACATCATTTTGAGAATGAGATGGCCAAGTTTCAAGTAAGTTCATTTGTTTTTCTAATTTTTGGTTCCAGAAAAATACTTTACTATGCTTCGGTTTTCTCTTCATTGAACAGCTTTCCCTTTCTAAGGCTAAAATTTTCTTCAAAGTTCACTTCATTTCTTGCTTCTACTCCACCACCGTTCTTTCTGTCTTTACAAATTTAGGGACCTTATACTGTTTCTTTCCATTTTAAATATGAGCTGCTGTTATTGTCTGTTTTGAATGCTTTCCTGGAGCTTTATTTTAGAAGGGTTCCAAATGCATTTGCTCTCGTGTTTCTTCTTTCAACTGGTATGCATTTTCTAAGTATTTAAAACAGAGAGGATCCTTGGATTTGACATGATGTGATGGACAAACACTACCCCTTTCCTTTGTTAGGAAATGTCAAAGGTGAAGATCCTTCTCCATTTGGTTTTCTGTCATATAGAAAGGTCACTATCCCCATGTGTCACAAAATTCTTTATCGAGCACCTTTCCTGCAAGCAATCCAGGTAGCTTCCATAAGTTCTGGATAATAATGGAGGACTATACTCTATGAGAGGCTATTGGCTCATATGCTATTCCTCCCTCCCCCTTTTTGCTTCTGTACAGCCAATGGTAGTTAACTTGCGCTAGTCTCTGGAGAAGTTTATTTGCTTCTTTAACCTGAATCAATGATTATTTATCGGAAAATGCATTCAAAAGCAGTATAGGACACATTAAAGTTGATTTTAAGCACAGTAGAAAGCATTCGGCAAGGAGTTATTATTGCAATGTAGTTTGTAAAGCTTAGACCTGATTGAATGTGATTACTGATTCCGAAGTAGCTGGGCAATTAAACTCAATACCAGATTAGTATTGTAGATTTGGAGATTGAAATAGAAAACTGGATAATATGATAAAGAGACATGAGGATGGGACAAAGAAGAAGAAAAAGAGTTGTGCAGGAAAAATTCTATTTAATGTGGCTTTTCTAGTTACTTTGTTGGTATATTGAATGATTCAATCAGTATGTTTCTTTCATCTCTCAGGGAGTTTATTTTCACCATATGAATAATGTCTGTCTGGTGGAGGAAGACTTGGTGATTGGAGCTAGAAATCTTGTTATTGTTCTTTGAATAAAAACTGTTTTTCTACTTTAAATAAAGGATTCTTCATTTTTTTATGTTATTTATGGTGCAAATTGAAGTTAATTCTTTTGCACAATCTGAGGATTCTTCATGTTTTGTGCAATTGTGTTGACCTTTCATGTCAGATATGGCACCATAATAGTACACTAATGAATACTTGTTCCAATGGATGTAGGAAAGGTTAAATAGATCCTTGATGGTCTGCCAAGACAAGTTTGAATCAGCTAAGCTTCAACAGATTAAAACTGAGGCTATGAATGAGTTGGAGTCATGTGTCAACCAGTCAATAGAGGATAACATGAAGACGATGCCACATCTTGTTGGAAAATTGAAGGCTTCTTTCAACATTGGTGCTTGAGCCAAATGAGTATTAGGATAGTGGTTGTGACCCGTTTTCTGTTTACTCAGATTCTTAACTCAAATCTTGAGATTTAATTGAAGGCATTAAGATCTGCCCAGCAATGCCTTTATGGCCATCTGGGATTAGGCAAATTATATTCACTTATTTGTTACAGATGAACCAAGTATTTGATTTTACTTCGAATTAAATATTAGAGAAACCACCTCCCATACAAGTATCCTCTTAACAAAAACTCTCTCTTTTTTAAATATATTGATGTTGATTTTATTCTTATAACTAGCACTAAGGCCAGAGTTCCTCTTACACCAAATCAGAGACATCCTCTCCCAGATTCAAGCATCAACCCTTTAGATATACACGCCTTCTTCATTGATCTTGTACTTGCACTGTGTTTTACATGACAATTTATCCACTGTCTTGGCTTTTTCTCCCAATCAAACTTGCAATTAACGCTTGAAGCTCTAATGGAAACTTTGTCTATAGCTGAGTCTGTGCTTCCCAAGATCATCGTCTGATTTGCAGCGAAGGGTCATACCCCTTTTGGAGTGTAAGTAAGTCGTTTACATAGAAATGTACGTTTTCCAAGCCAAAAGTTTAAGCCCAGGACCAACCCGAAGCTGGCACAAGTTTGGCTTATTAACCCATGCTGCGGATGGATAGGAGTAAGCATTTTCTTTTCTTGCAAAGTCACCAGATTACAAATCTAATTCCTCCAAAGCCGTACCTTGTTGACGGTGCCAACCTCCAATACAATAAGGCCTTTCTTTCAAGTCTCAAAGGTCTTTAAGGATCATAGCCAAGGACAGAAGAGGCCAATATTTTGGTATTAGTTAACAACTATGTTACTCAGATTTGGGAGTGTCAGATACAGGTATCTGTCCAATAGGAGCGTGTTCCATCCTTTTTAGTTTTTTTCCATATATTTGGAGCGTCAAACCTCTATCCTCTTTTCCATCTAATATGTGCTGGGCAGGATACTTCAAGGAAATGTACAGTTAGACTCAGAGCAACATAAGACTTAACAACAGAATGAAATTGAACATAATATTTTATCCTTGTCGATATACTATCCTGTTAAGTTCTTCGTCACCTTCTCACATAAATTGCATCACAATCCTCATCTTCTGAAACTCACAAAAGAAGCAAAACTAAGCAAGAATAGCTAAAAGCGACCAATAACTTTATGAAAAACTTCAAGCAAATAAAAAATTAGGAGAATTTTTTTCTTCGCTTATTTTAAATATTATTATGTACGTTATAGCATATAACCAAGAAACATTACTTTGAAGAATATATCCAAGGCAAGAAGCAAAATGTCAATTTCATTATTACCAGCTACACTATAATGTATAACCAACAAAGACAATTAGTTTCAAACATTGATGGTACATGATAAGTGACTCTTACATAAAGACCTTTACCTTGTTCTTGACTACATTATTACAGAAAGAGTCAAGAGATCAAGCCTTCGATGCCATGCTTGCTTGAGCCTCTTGCTTTTTGTGCTCCTCAAACTTATCTATAGCCACCTGAAGCTCATCCGTACCACCAACAGCTCTCATGGTATAGAAATATACCCCGAATACAAAAGCCGTCAAGCCCCCGGCAACAACCAGATTCTTAGTCTTTGGTGCAAGGCTGTTATATCCCAAAAGCCCAGCCATCTTAGAAGCAGAAAGTCTGGGTAATACGTTTATGCCTTCAAAGCTGAAAACCACAAGAAATCAGCCTACTTTCCAAAACTTCCCTTGGCAATGGGTGGCAAAAGAGAGAGTTAAGGAACACGCTGGCCCTAAAACCTATCTTTTCAGCACAGAAAAGTTAATGCTTGATTCATTTCTTGGAAAAGGAGATGGAAAAAATGTAATGAAAAAGAAATAAAGAAGAAGAAATTTGAAGGGAAGAAATATTTAGGCTCCATTTCTTTGTAGCTAGCTTTTCCCTATTTTATTTTGCTTCCTAAGAAATGGCCAGAAGTAAAACCAAAAGCTAGAAAAGGAAGCCACACTGACTCTAGTACAATTGTTCTGTATAAAAGTAAAATCATGCACTTGATACTCTAAAAAAAAAAATCAATTTTTTAATTATTTAAAAGATATTATTTGCTTTTGTATCTACACACAATTTTTGCCCTTGCTTCCATGAGCAAAGTCAAGTAGTAAAAATAATAACCAAATATATCTTAGTGTTTTTTACAGACAAATTGATAGCAATACATATACAAATCTAATGATAAGCACAACCAAAAACTAAGGAATCAAATTGAAAAACAAAAACTAAGAATGATGATTTCAAACAAAAGGGTTTTAACAACAAAATCAGGCTTTGGGTTATCCTTCAAACAATCATCAAAACAATGAATATTTCTAACAAAGTCGTGATCTTTTCCATTTCCATTGATTGCAGTACATGTATTTCGACGATTTCACTCCATAACAATAAAACCCATTTCTTTTATCTCTCAAAAAAATTGAATTCACATATAAAAATACACCAAAGGCAACAGCTACCATTTTAATGTTAAAACAAATAAGTATTTCGTTCGAACTTTTACCAGATAATGGAGTAATAATCTTCCTAACACTTTTCTACAAACCCAAATAATTTCGTTAAAAGAAAATAGAATATTTGGAAGCCAAAGCTGACCTGGAAATCTCAAGGCAACGGTGGTTTTGAGCTTAGCTAGAGTTCAGAGAAAAAGAGATAGAGGGGAAATAGTGCGGGGTTGGAAGAGAGCGAGAACTTGGCAACAGTCCGCGGATTGGTTTGGTAGAAACGTTGATGGGCAGGCAAAATAAATTGGGCCTGGATCTTGGTCTTAAAGCCTAGTAAGTCACCTTTGGTTTAGCACCGTTTGACTCGAGTCAGACCCGATTGAGTTCAATAAAAAGCTTGAAACTCAACTCAATTTAATAGGTTTAAACTCGAATTTTAACAATTAAATAAAACTTAAAAAATATGTAAATAATTATAATGCTCTATTTATGAATAAAAAAACATTAAGATTTATAAAAAAAATTAAAAAATTTTATAAGACCTATAATATACTCAAATTGAGTATCAAAAAATTTAAACTTGACTTGATCCATTATTCAAGTTGCTCAAATCAGATTTTAACTAAAAAGTGAAGGAGTCAAATTCAAGTATTTATAGAACAAAATTCAAGAGTAGCTTAATTTGTTTACATCATAATCACACACACACGCACATAAATATCTATTATATTTTATAATTTATATTTATATCTATGCAATAGGATATTATCTAAATGGAAAATGATATAAAGAGTGAAACTTTTATAATTAAAATATCTTCTTTATTTTAGTTAACTTTTAAATATATTAATTTTTTTTCCTTCAAAAACAATTTCTAATTCCTTATTTGAGTAGTCTATCTTTAATCTTAAGAACCAAAAATATAGACGTCATAAGATTCGGGTTTTCTTCAACTACACTCTTCATAATTAACGAAACATCATTTTATAGAAGTGTAAAGGTAAAAGTTCAAAAATATTTCCAAATAAATACTTTTTAAAATCATGAGTATTTATTTTTTAAAATTTTAATTTTTTAAATTTATTTATTAAATGAGACGATATCATATGATTCACGGATATAACATATAAAATTTATACATTAACAGTAAATCAAATATAAATCGGATATATGTTTTATAGTTTAGATTTGTTATAAGGTCCAAATCCTAGAAAAAATCGTCCAGTTGGTAAGTGGTGAGGGGGAAGCAAGGCCAGCCTAGCGCCAACCTCTGCGGCCTCGTCTGGGGTGTGAGTGCCCTGCCCCCGAGTCATGGATGTTTGAGTGAAGCCAGGGCAAAAACAATTAATGCTTAGTCTACTCCCTTGGAACCGCTTGGCCAGAACCCTAGAATAAGCATTCAGTGCCAGCTTTGAAACTGAGTAGTCCGTCCATATCTTCGGCCACCCTTCACTTTGCCATGTTCCATTCTTCACACTTTGAAGAAACAAATTCACCACCTCTTCTATTTGTTCCTCCGATAGCCTCTCATTTTGCAGAGTTGCTTTTATTTTAAGGTCTCTCACTTTCTGTATGCATCAAGGAAGTATATGATTGTAATTAATTTAAGTTAAATATATGTAACTTAAGAAATTCAATTAAAATTTATTTTGGATCATTGATTCATTGATTTAGAAAAATAATATTTTAATTATTAATATTATATAAATAATACATCCTTAATTAATCAACCATTAAATATAAATAAGTTTCTGTTACATGTGACACGAAATATTTATATAATGATGATATGGAATAAAAAATTTATTAGTGTTGATATCAATTATGATTTTGTTTTTGTTTTTTGACAGTAAGTAAAGGAAGCTTAAATTCAAAGCAATATTAAGATTATTTGCTACGTACGTTTATGGAGCCAAGCCTGGAGCTAATGTTAAGTATCCGGCTTACGGAAGTTGAAAAGCGAAACAAGGGCAAGAGTGACTCAGTGAGTAACTTGGCTCCATAGAAATTGGTTTTGATGACAGTCTCCGCGTACTCCGCCGAGTTCTCATCGATCTCGTTGAACGAAACAGCAGCATTGTTAACCTGAAAATTAAAAATTAATAATAACAATAATTAGAATTAGAGTATTAATATAGTTTTCATGAAATGCCAACCACCGTCAATAACATATATGGAATTGTTAAGAATTCGATGCCTAGGGGTAGATTATTTAATTGAAATTAATTTGGTCATACCCTCATATATATGCCAAGTTGATGTTTAAAAAAAAGAGTGCAAAATCTAAATGTGGAAACGGTGCTTAATATAATTAATGTCAAGTAGAGCTGGCTTTCAATTAATTAAATTTTTATTATATAGTAGCATATAATTAGAATAATTAGCTAGCATGTGCAAGACAAATGTTGGTTCTTTTACAGCTAGTAGAAGTGTCATAACTATCATTAATTTAGTTCAACTTTATGCCCAAGTTAATGTTGAATTTCATACACAATACAGCTCAAAGTTTGACTACTTAAAGGAGGCACTGATGACCAATATTTCCCTTTTTTTAAATATTATTTTAATGTGAAACTAAATAAATTCGTGCTGGTCAAATTTATATAGTGATAAACAATTGGTAGAAAGATATAAGTTTTCCACACCCAAACATAAAATAAATTAAAAAAAACCTAATTAAATTGCTAAACAAGGTTATGAAATCTTGAACTTGATGAAGAACCAGATGCGCACCGATCACATTGATTTTTGCATATGGGATTAGGGATAGTGTCAACTCTATATATTAGTGCTTAAAAACTCTTTCTCCAGTCATTATCAAGGGAGACTGGACTATATGGTAAGGGTTTAAAAGATTACTTGTTTATCTCTAATATTGAAATAATGAAGAATCATCGGTTAACTTTTTATTATACTAGTATATGTATAATTATGGATATTGGAAAACTTTTCAATAGAGGAAAATATTTGTTCATTATATTTTAAAATTATCATTTGAGTATTTTTTATTATTAATGTTAATAAAATTTATTTAATTTACAAATATATCAGAATCTCTAATGCATCGAATGATTTTCATTAAATATTAACAAAATTTATTCAATATGTATATATATATATATATTGATGATTTTTATTGAAAATACTTTTCTTAATTTTTATAGTATTGAAAACAATAGCTGATAGTTGAAGAGATGATTTTCAATCATTTAGTAAATATATTATTTAATATAGTAATCATAACAAGTATCTTCTAATAATTTTATCAAGTGTTCTTAATTAGACATTTTTAGTAAAATTCTTATAATAATAAAAATAATCATAAAAAAATTCATTAATTATAATCAAAACCCTTGATGACAATACTTCTCTTGTCCTACTTTATTTATTTTTGTTTGATTTTTTGATTAAATGAACTCAATTTTATTTATTATTTTTAAAATATAATACAAAATATATTTTGAAGAATTTAAATTTCAAAATTTATAAATTTTATTTTTTATACAAATTTATAACTTTATAATATTGCTAAGAATGAACAAAATGGAATTCAATTTGACCCACCATAATTGGAGGAAGGAATATTTTGATTGAGAGAACAATCTTGGAAATTAGAATCATATCTGAGACTAATTTCTCCATGTGATCTCCTCTCTCTGCGTATAATCATCGTGGAAAATACTCAACAGTATATGAACTATGGAAAATGTGTGTGACGAATTAAAGAAAAAAAAAAGGGAAAAAGAATCAAGCCCTGGTCCTATCAGATCGCATCTGGTCCAGCATCTCAGGCCTTGATAGCACATGGAAGACATGCACCTTAACCTATATGAGATTAATAAGTGTTCATTCCTATACATCTATATACACAAAAAAAGAAACCCCTAGAACGACAGTGAGGCATTTATCACAAATAATTGTACTATCTATTATTGATCTTTATCTTTACCTTTTTTTAAAAAAAAAAAGAAGGAGAAATTAAAACTGTGATGTTTATATCTGAAAATTACAATGCAACCGATGATTAAGAGACTTACAAGAATATCCAACCCTCCAAACGTTGTATCCAGCCAAGACACAAAGGTTTGGATGGAAGCAGGCTTTGAAACATCAAGGGGAGAGAAGTGTACGTTAGGAAGCCCTTGCTCCCTGAGTGACTCGGCTGCTTTGTTTCCTCTTTCTACATCTCTAGCGGTCAAAACCACTGTTAACCCCAGCTCTGCAAATCGTTTCACCAGCGCAAATCCTATGCCTTTGTTGGCTCCGGTGACTACAGCAACCGTGTCCCTGCACCACCATCTGCATGAACGATTGAAAAACCCCATGTTAAATTAAACATAAAATTAAATCAAAAGGGTATCACCCAAAAAACATTCGTTTTGATGAAAAGTTTTCCAAGTATCTGAGGGATTTGTTTTCACTACCTAGTTGAGGAGAGGGGAGGAGAAGAGAAAGAGAACTCAACTTCTTTCGATTCCATTATTTGTTGCTCAAGGAGAAACTGTTGCAGCTTGATGCACTATATATAGAGAGAGAGGGAGATGAATTAGGAGGCAGGGTCATAAAGGCAAAAGCAGTGGCTAGTACAAGTGTGAATATTAAGATGACAGGATTGTATAAAGAAATGGGTTCATGCGTATAAACATAGAGGGTGATAAAGCAAGCCAAAGTGTGGATTAAGGGTGGCGTTACAATAAATTAATAAGATTAAGGGAATGGCTCTGATCAGTTGATGAAGTCTTAAACTATAGTTTTGGGTCAAGGGCGTGCGGACCTATTAATGGAAAAAAACGAAAGGTTGAAACGTACTCCCCAATTACACGGCATGTCTACATTTCAATTTACGTTTATTGCACCATAAAAAATCCCAGAAATATTCACCAATTTTAACCCCCTGACTCTGATGCCATATATATATATATTACAAAGTTCAATTCAGTAAATAAAATTATATATATAATAATGACATGAAAAAGTATATGACAGAGAAAAGCGTGAACGAGATAACATGGCCTATCCATACAAGTACAAGGACAGTAGAGCAGAATCCAAGCCTCCTCTCTCCTTCAGACACGTGGCGGCATGTGTTCACCTCAGCCCGTAATTTATGATGTCACCACGTTGGATCGTTTCAAATTTTTTTACTTTATATTTATCCAATAATGAAAAGAAGTGTTTGATTTTTGGATAATTATAATTTTAATGAATTATAATTGTGAGTGATATGAATAAAAAAGAATTATAATTAATTTATTATTATTACATAAAGAATTTGTATTCCATCAATGAGTCATAAATTAATACTTAAATAATGAGTAATTTTTTGTGTTTGCATTGATGAGTGATTTGAAAAAGTACAGAATCCGTAAAATTAAACATTCATACAAACTTAATTACCAATTTAATGGATATGTAATTTGTATTAAAGTAACTCTAAACCTTTTAAATTTATTAATAAACGTAGTAAAATTATATGGGACTCATCAAATACTTTTTAATTTAATGTAGTGGACGAAAGTTATTAGGAGATTACTCACTAATACTTAATGACCAGCTTAAATCAGATTAGGTTGAATGTGTGAGAACTAAGAAGCAATGAAGCTCAAATAAAAATAAATAAATAAATAATGATATAAAACGTGAACCCAATTTTTTAATATAATTTGTCATCATATATTCAACTCGTTCATATCTTGGTATAAGTCTGCATGCAGGAAAATTCGTCCATCAACAACAAGTCCCAATTTTCTTTAGTTATCACAACGAAAAACCACTGAAGAGATGCTTAATTATTTCCAAAGAATCCTAACAATTAAATTATTTAAAACTTAAATTTTTAATATTAATTTATCAAAATACACCTTATATATAAAATAATCTTAACAATCAGCTACTTCTTTTAAAGAAATGCCTTTCTCAACACATGGTAGATGTAGGGGTGGGATTAGTTAATTTTTATTTAGGGGGTCAAAATTTGAAAAGAATAAAAATTAAAAATTTTTCAAACTAATATATTGAACGTAATCATTAATAATTAAAAGATTTATAACAGATAATACTTTTATATAAAATATAAATCAAAAGAAAAAAAAAGAAAAAAATTTATAATAGTGTTCTAAAAAAAATTTATTTCACAATGGTAATATCTTTCTTAGTATAAATAACTAAATTCTTTGTAAGAAACTTATCATTCATTTTGTTTAGGAGTATGTCTTTCTCAATATTAATGATTAAAAAATTAATGTAGTCAACATCTAATATTCTTATTTTATTATATTT